TTAGAATTGTCAAGAACTATTAATGCTCAAGCACTTGAAAAAAAGATCTGTCTTTGTTTGAGTATATCAAACCCCGTATGAGTCGCAATGGGACACTATGTGACAATTCTAATTTGTTATGTTGCTGCATCCATCTTTTTGTCTGTGTCAATGTCCATGCTCCCATGGTGGCAAGAAGCACTAACAACTTTTTTGTATTTATACCAAAAACTTCTTTTAAACCAGCCCATATTTGAGGCCTGCTAATTTGTAGCACGGATAAGCTAAAACCGGCCCCCAAAAAGACAAAAGTCCAAAAGGAGAAATTGCGTCCAGCATCTTTTTGCATTAATATCCTCTGGACACTATGTACAGCTGTAAAGAAACCTTAAGCATGTGGAAGCAGGACTTGTTATCAATATGTACCGTTTTATCTGGCAAAAATATGTTTATATATATATATATATATATATATACCGTTTTCTATCTTTTAGTGAAGAAATACAATGAAAGCTTTGCTTTTAACTGTGTCTCTACTCTTTGACATATGCTATTACATGTTTTGAAAGGACAATAGCCGTTATTAAATTTCCTTGGACAAACACATGTATTGAGACCCCATCACAGAGAACTTTTTCTTGATCTCTGGTTTGCTTTGCTTGTTATAGACAGAATTCTTATTGGTTTGCTTATGGTGTTATGGTCCTGATAATTTTTCCAGAAAAGAGGGGGTGTTCACTTTGAATTGCACAGCATGGAGAAAAAATATGCTAGGAAAATGGATTTTGTAGATGAGACATGTCCTTAATGTCCCTGATTTAGAAAATACAGTTGCTTCTAAGTAATAATGACGTCACTGGTAAAAAAAAGTAATAATGACATCAGCATACCAAATATTACATATATCATTATAATGATCCATTTTTGTTCATCTAACTAAATATGCCCTCAAATGGTAGGGTGTTCACGAGCTCAATTTGGTTCAGTTTTAAATAAAAGCTAGACTAAACTAAATCAATTAGTTTACATATGACTGAAACTTGATCAATTTTTGGGAAAATTGGTTTGGTTTAGTTTGATTTTCTTTTTGAATTGATTAAGGTCTGAATCAAGTTTTAATACATTTATTTAAATTTTTTTCCTTTTTTGTTATAACTTAAACTTAGTATAAGTGTGTCATTTTTTTTTTGTAAACTGTATTTATATAGCCACTTGATAATTGATAGGATTTTTTTTATTTTTCTCTAAATATTTTTAATAGCATGAAAATACTAACAACAAAGTGATCATATAAGTTTATTTTTAAATGATTAATTATCAAAAACAGATGAAACTATAGGCATCTTTTGAATTATATATTTTTAATTCATTAGCACTTGATCAAAGTATGTTTATCATGAATTTATGATGATATTTGAGTGATAATTTTTGCAAAAAAATATAAAACAAAGTTAGTTACTTTAATTTACAAAAAAAAATACTAATAACGATAACATTTTATTGTCAAATATATATAATACTCCCTTCGTTTAAAATGTAAGGTATTTTTAACCAAATCTTACCCTCCAATAAAGTAGTTACCTACTTTCAAATTAACTCTATCTTTACTTATTTATCCCTATTAAATACCTTACAATAAATATAAAGTCATTATCAATAGGGGCACCTTTGAAAAAATGGCAATGATTATACCTCAAAAAATTAAAAATTCCTTATTTTCTAACATCATACTTCTCAAAAAATGCCTTATATTTTTAAATGAAGGGAGTAGCATTTTTTCTAATTGTAGACAATATTTAACTAATCATAGACAAGTATCCTTAAAAAGTATTATAAAAATTATAGATGATATTTAACTAATTGCAACATATTTTTAACCATCAATTTATAGATTAGACAAATTTATAAGAATATATAAAATAAATATAATAAGATTTGTTAGTTTGGTTCAATTTTTAAAAAATAAAAACTCGAACTGAATCAAATCAATCAATTTCACCATGAGAAAAACCAAACTAAATTTTATTTATAATAGTTTTTGATTTGTTCATGTCAATTTGGTTCGGTGTCATTAGTTTGGTGTCATTGATTTGAATCGGTTTTGATCACCCTTAATGATCCTACTGCATTCAATGCCATTCTTTCTCATTGAGGATGTCTGATGTCAGCCTTCAACCTGGCAACGCAGCAAATAAATGGATAACTTATTAATTTCTTCTTTTATAGAACTACTTATTAATCAAATAAATTGCCAATAAATTGACAGGGCATTTTATCACTTTTAAAAACTAGCGTGTGGATTGTTTACAAGTGGTCTGGCTGTTTTGCAAGGAAGCGATCATTTGAATGGGAATCATTCAAATATTATAGTCATTCTAATTATGTACATCTTTTGTTTGTGCAGGCATATCTCCCTGCCATAGTAGGTGCTTCTACTTTTAATATTTTTGGTATTATATGGACAGAGAGAGAGATTTAATGAAAGTGCTGTTAGACCATCGTTTGACATGGGTTGGGCTTCACGTGCAAGCAAGCTGGAGCAAAGTCATAATGGACTTTACTACAACACTGCTAGACATGTTGTTTGTGAAGTTTGGGCTTCTCAAGTATATATGACCCCAAAAGCCTTTGCATGGAATTGGATTATGAAGATGGAGCTATAACCTGTTCTTCGGCTTCAACAATGGGTCTCTCAAAAGTTTATGTGGCTTTCTGTAATTGGGCTTTTGGATTGAAGGATGTAGAAAATCTGGGCTTTTGATGTCCATTAAGTTTGTTTAATTTTCAAATTATTTTCTTTTACAAGTCTTAGCAACTTAAGATAAAAAAAAAAAACAACAACAACAAAGAGAGAAGTCTTATTTTATATATATATATATATATATGTTTTACTTTTGTTTTTGTACTAATCCTTGAGGACAAGGATATCTTGTTGGGGGAAGTATTGATACATGAGAATTAGAAATAATAGAGATAATTAGGAGAACTAGGAATATAAGGGTAATTTGAATATTTAGGTATACTCCCTATAAATAGGCCTCTAAGTTGTATTGGGTCGTTATGAATAGAATTAGACTTTCTCTTCTCTATTTCCCTTCTGCCTCTTCTCTCTCTCTCTTTCTCTCTGTCTTTCTATTCTACCTCTATCATCATTTACTTTTTCCAAATAATATTTGTGCTAGAGAAAGGAGGACAGAAAGTAAAATTTAGAAGGAGGGGATATAAGTTAGTCTCTGTGTAGAGTTGCTCTTTTGGTTGGTATCAGCTGTAGTTGGATGGGTCGTTATCTCATAATCTTAAGCCACAAGTCTCTCCTTTCACAAACGTGTGTGTTTTAATTGCTATGTTGTTTTGCTTATTAAAACTTTGTTCAGTCAGTCGACGTGCCTCTATTTCATGGGGTCTGCTACTTTTGAATATTGAGGACCATTTGCCTTCTTTTCTTATTTTTTTAAAATTCCCTTGGAGCTGCTAGGATCTCCTAAGTTTATTAGTTGTCATTAGCTGTCAATAAGAAAGTAAATGCAAGAGGACGAAACATTCTGAAAGAAGACAAAAGAACATAGTTGGTGGATGATACTCAAATGGAATAGGAAACTCTCTCCTAGAACCAAGCTATTTAAAATGGGAGAACCAACCTAATCTAGTACACCATAGAGCACCCCCATTTATTCAATGTGAGACTAAGGAAATACATTTTAAGTCTTTTGACTTCCATTGGAGAGCTGATTCCTGATAGCTATGCTCTATCACACTTTACTTAACTTTTTCATTAGTTAGAATCTCTCTATCAATCAGAACCTTTTATAGATAGCTTTTTTTGAAAAACAACCAAGCTCATATACTAATTGATAGAAACTTAAGTGAAATGGGAAACTTTTTCTCAAAAGTTAGCCATGAAAGTGGAAGAACCAATCCACTTAGGTGCCTCATAAAATGATACATCATAGTACTCAATGTGGGATTTAGTTATCCCATATGACTTTATTCTCCATCAAATTGAAATATAAATACGAGAGACCACTATAATAGCTTCCATTCTTCTAGCAATTCTCATTGTAGATTTCATATTCACTATATGCTTCTAAACATCCTAGTTCAAGAGGGAAAAATTGATCTACTTGCTCCTGCACACACACACACAAAAAAAAGCAACCGAACGAAAAGAAAAAGCAAATTTGCATATCTGATATGCCTTCTGTTCAGTAACACATGCCTTTTGTTTGAAGTTTTAGCATTGACATTGTTGTGATTCATTTTTTTTAACTCCATATACTTAATGAGAAAAGAGACAGGTAAAGTATGGGTGTTTATTTGATTACCCATTTCTTGTAGCCCAAAGGTTCTCTGTTATAACAAGAGATTTTGCTCTAAATAAAAATCAAAGTACTCAAAAAATTTTGTGAAGAGCGGAATTTCTACAGCGTCATAAATTTTCTGCTTTTCTATTTTTTTTTAACCTTGGAAAATCAGAGTACTTTTTTTTCAAAGAGAAATGGTCATCTATGTTCACCTCTACTTTATTTTGGCTTTTAGGTAAGGATGATTATTTTTGATAAGCCATTTAGTACTCCCCCCTCTCTCTTCATGACATTACCTGTTACAGCATATATACTACTGTAGTTCATTCAGGTTTTAGATGATGAAGGCATTGGTTCTTGTTCTAACAAGATTTCTTCTTTCATCAAAACTGCTGTGTCAGGTTTTATGTGTTTTAGCTCAAGTTAAGGCTGACAAGGATTTGGTTGAAAACTTGTCACAGCCTATTGATTCTGCTGACTGGCTCTTTCAAGAAATTAAAGCTTTGCAAAGACAAGTTGAGGATTTAGAATATAAGCTTGATTTCCGTGGACAAGGAGCAAGGACCTTGAAAGAATTTCAATTGAAGCTGAACGCGTTGCAGGGAACGAAGTAAATAGCTTTTTATTACCTTGCAACAGTTTTAGTTAAGTGCTCCTATTTATTAACATAATTGTGAAATAGAGTTAATTAGAAATTAATTAAGAATTATTTACTCCAGATTTATAGGAATATAATTATGAGATTGTGGGTGTAAATGAGTGATTTGATTTTGTTTATTATTTCCCTATACAGTCAGCTCATGTAACTCATGTATATATCCCGAATAACGGAGTAGAACTTTCAAGCTTCTGGTCCAAATTCCTACATGGTATCAAAGCAAGTTGACTTTGACCTAGAAATTGAAGGCAACAATGTTCAACCAGAAGGGGAGTCTGAGTTGAGCCGCTTGAGACTGTCTTCTGTGGGTTTCGGCACCAAGATTCTGCTAATGCACACCCATAGAGAAACTCCCTACGGGTTGAGTTCTGCCAAATGGTCCTCTCTTCTTTTGTCTGACAAGTTCAACGGACACAATTATTATGAGTCGGATCAACCCATAAGGCTTGTTATTGGTGGTTATGGCAAGCTGGGCTTCAGCACCAATGATTCCTGTAACACCCTCAAAAATACAAACTAATTTTTCGTAAATTATTAAAACTATTATCATGGTAGAAAATTTTCTTACCATGATACATCCAAGACATAACACAAGTCTTAAAATATCCAAAAAGGCAATTAAAACCATGAGCGACAGACATAATCCTCATGGTCATATAAATACTTTTAATAAAAAGGATTAGAGTTTACATGCTCCACAAAGAAGATATGTCCTAAGTTGGCACCAGATACATTGTATAATCCAAAATAAGAGGCAACGTAAAAGATGGTGTCTCATACACCATAGTTACACCTCTGGTGCTTTCTCGGCCGGACTCGCTCCTGTAAAAATATTAACCACGGGGAATGAGACTTAAAAGTCCCAGTAACCAAAAATTAATATGTAGTGATGCATGCGGATGTAACTAATCATGCGATTGCTAAGTGGGCACACAAAACATTTAACCGAACAATATTTTCAAACAAACCGAACAAGTATTTAATTGCATGACTGCACCTTATATCCTCCTTTCACCATGCTCGGACGCCAAATCACCCGGCCAAAGGTGAGTTGGACCAAGCGACATGCCACTCATTGGGTCCAATGAGGGCTTACCACGTGGTAATAATTAACCGAACATAAATTCCCATTAACACCATACATTAAAATACCCTGACAAGTCATGCATCATTCAAATATCCAAACAGAAATATATCCGAACAATAATATCTCATCATGATAAACAAAAATAAATTTTTAACCCACTTGGCAATGATTTCACAGAAGTATATAACAGTATTTATTTTCAATAATTCATAATTTTTCCAAACAACAAAACAACACATAACCATTCACAAACACACCCATCACAACACATTAATAATGGTTACCTTGTGTCTTGAATAACAAGTTCCCCTTCACAACTCCTTTTTCACCACTATCTTTGTCAATATAATCTACATAATTATTTCACAATACTATATATTAATTTTACATTAAAATAAATAACTCTAATTTAAAGAGTTAGAAAGTCTTAGATCTATAATCCATATTAACACTAATTTAAGATTTATGCCTCATTTAACTTTCTAAATTCTTTTCTAAAATTCTCGTACCCTAATAAACTATTTTTTTATCCTCAAATCACTTCTAGTATCACAATTTCATCCTTCTATATTCTAAAAATTCGTCCAAAAATAAATTAAAAATTTTAAAATTATCCTAAAGCCTCAAATCACCTTTCTATAACCTCAAAAATACCTATTCATACTTAAATAAATATTTAATAATCAGAAGTTCATCCCTACATCTCAGATTCCACATAAATTCAACCATATAGATCTAGATTTTAACTCAAAAATTCTTAAACATGAGTTTCAACCTCAAGAAAATATTCTATAATATTTATTATATCCCTAAGAGTTTTAACCTATATTTTTAATCCATCATATCATCAGATTAACTATCCTATAGAAAAAAAATCCTAATCAGAATATTTACTCTATTCTATAAAATAATCATATCACTAGAAAGCTAATACTATTTAAAAAATAACTATAAAATTAATTTTGTAATTAAATAAATTTTTAAATGCTAATTTAAACAGGAAAGTTAGAACATACCTGAAGAAAAAGAAAATAATCCCTCCTTGTGAGAAAACGCCGAGCAACGTGAGAGGAAGAGAGAAAAATAATATAAAAATGGGATTGTGAGTCCCAAAATTATATTAAAAAAAATTATAGGTCTGAATTTAATTATTCAAACCTTTGGGCCATAAGTTGCAATTTCCTCTAAATTGCATCTTAGCCTCTCATGCTTCCTAATGCACACCCCCCCCTCCTTTTTATACATGAATGCACCTCTTCTCTTCTCTCATTTAACCAATGTGGGACTTAGAAACAACAATCTTCCACCCCCCCTTTTTTTGTTCCTTCTACCTTCTCTTTTTTTTTAACACACACATAAAAAAAATTATTTATGTATTATATCTTAACTAAATATTGCTTATGTGGTTTTAAATTTAAATTTTTAAATTCATAATTAAATACCTAACCATAATATTATTTCTAAATAACTTCAAATAATATAAATTCCTATTATTATCATTTTTTTTCAAAACCTAAATTCCACAATTTTTTTATTATATAAAAATCAGGATGTTACAATTCCAAGGCACTATATGGGTTAAACACAATGGCCACGTTGAAGTGGGAGAGTAAGAACTCGATGGTGGTTTTGTGGTTGGTCACAGCTATGGCTCCCATAGGTTCGATGTTCTCTCACGTTCTTGCTGATGGTGAAAGACATCTGGGATGTTGTTCGAGAATCAAGCTTGGATGGTAAGGATGGTGTTTGATCATATGATCTGAAAATTAAAATTTGGTAGATCAAACAAGGTGAACACGATCTTCAAGAGGTTTGGTTGGAACTGGTTGCAATATAGCAGGAGATTGATCTCAACACAAGGAGGAATGGTCTTGTGCCCGTGATGCTATAAGGTATAAAGAAAGTTTTGAGGATGAATATAACATTCTGAAATTTTAAGACTCAGATTTATTTTAAAAAGATAAAATAAAATATTTATAATTAAATTAAAATTAAAAGTAGTATGATAGAGGTCCCGAGTTTGAATTTTTTCAAGTAAAAGTTTGGTTTTATTTTATTTTTAACTATAAAAAAATTATCAAAGTTGACCCGGACTTTTGTATCATAATAAAAAATATTGGGCCCTTTCTTATAATTTTTTTCAAAATATTTTAAGATCAGTTTTTTAAAGAGAAACAGCACGTAGAAGCTGAAAATAGAAACAAAGAAAAGGAAACACATGAACAAGAGAGTGAGAGGAAGAAGAGAGAAGGAAGAGAGGAACTTAGGCTCGGATCTGGAAGGCTTTGCAGCTGTTGTGAGCTCGACTACACGATAGGTAAACTCCCTACTTCAATCCTCTTCCTTTCTTCTTGATTTTCTTCAATTTTAGAAGATAAAATTTTTAAATTTTGATCCCAAAGGCTTTATTCTTATAAGCTTTGGTTTTTTTTGGATTCTTGGGAGGTTGTTTTGAGTTTTTATATGATGCTCTAATGTTTTGAGTGGGTATTTGGATGAAAAATGAAGTTTTAGGACAAAAATCAAACCTCAAGAGGTTGGGTTTTGCTCCTCAATGGTTTAAGTCTATTGATTTAGTTATAATTTTTCTATTTGAGCCCAATAAGATTTAAATTAAGTTTTGATTTTCATTATAAGGGCTAATGGTAAAAGTTGGTAACACTAAGTAAAGGTTTTTAATTGATTAAAAATTATATGAATTGAAAATTGGCCTAGTGGTAGCTAATAAATAATTTTGGTGGTTAAGTGGTATTATGTGAATGGTTGGTTTAATATATGAACTATTGGGATGGATTATGACTCATTAATTCAAGTTATATGGTATGAGTTATAGTCTTCTTCTATATTATTTGCCATGATAAGTGATGTGAATCACTTATATGTTGTAGAAATTGTTAGTAGAATTTGTTTGGAAGTTAAAGGATAAGCCGAGTCATATTTTTGTACAAGGGAAACCCTTTTGGTATAAAGAGGTTGAGGTAATAGGGAAATTTATATTTCTTATTGTTTTATTTAGCTATTTTTGAGTAAATAATATTATCTAGCATGCATTACATGTTTTACATAATTGAATGCAAATAAAATGTGTTTTATAAGGGTTTATGGGATATTACTTTGATATTAATGCATCTATGTTTATTATCTATTTAATAATGATATTATTTATGAAAATAAGATTATTAGCATGCATTGTGGTCATAAAAAAATGAGGAGTTGTAGTTGGAGAGTGCAACTAGGTTTGGTACCTTATATAGGTTAAGGAACTGCTTAAGAGATGAATTATGAGTGTTATACTACCTTGAGTGTTTAAGTGGTCAATACTTAGAAAAGGTAGAAAAGGGTAGAAGGCATGATCTCGATGGAAGTTCACCAATAGGGAGATGCAGTTTTGTGATATTCTATAGCTCACTGTCAGTACTCAATGTTGCCTTTCATATTGTGGGCTCAGTACACTAAAGTGGTTAGTGGATTAAGTGTTTGACACCTCTCAATAGGGGAGGAAATCCGACATATGAAGTGTGAGGTTCAGTGCCTAGGCCAAGATAGCCCTCACATAGAGAGTAAATTAAGCTGGCTTTGGGAGGGAGTTAGCTTTAACTGCTCAGGATTCTCGTTGAAGAGGCACAGGTGGTTCAGTGGATTACATCATGCCTTAGTTTATATTTTGTGCCTATGGAGGTACAGTGGGTGTAAGGTTTACCTACAAGTTAAAAAGTGTTAAGGGGCACTCTGTTAGTCAGGAAAGGTCATATTAGCTTATCTCATACATTCAAACATTTTAATTAGTTAATTATATATTATTTTGAATCTATTATTTATTGACTTGACTATGGCTTTCCTTGTAATAAGGAATATTGATTTCTCTGTTATTGAGACTGTAGTTGTCTCACCCCTTTTTTTAGCAATATTTATAGGTCCAAGCAAAGGATCCAGTAGTGTATGGAAAAAAGAGCCAAGTTAGGGTTTGCTTGTGGGTTTAAAGATCTGCAACTCCCTTCTTTTGAGCAAGTATATTGTAATGTATTTAGGTTAGGGTGTTAGTAGGATGTGATTACACATATATGTACATATGTGTGGATTGTGTGCTTGTGTATGCATTTTTGCCGCTTATAGACTTGTATTTAGAAAACTTGGTTATAGTATGTGGTTTTGATGGATTAATTTGATAGACCAAGTTTTCACTACAAGTAAATGTTTATTTTGGTGTATATATATGAATATATGTGATTCTATACGCAATTACAAAGTAGTTGCATTGTGAATTGTATGCTAAGGGCAAACATACACCTTGGATAGAGAGAACAGGTGCGTGGGCTCCACGGGGATATCTGAGTCAAATAAAAATATTTAGCATGTGTATTTATATAAATACATAGTGTTTAGATTGATTTTTGACTACTCTTGTATGATTTATGCATTTTGGGGGTTTAGAGTCCATTTTGAGAAATGGCACTTGGGTGGTCAAATTTGATATAAGGAGTTTTTCTATCGTTTAAATGTTCTATTAGGTACTTTTAGTCCTATTTGACGTGTCCAAAGTGTTCCCACAAGTTTGTGACCCTTAGGATGAGATTTGGATAATTTTAAAAATGGTTTTTACTAAAAGACTGTACTTTTGCATCCAGGTATCCAAATCTCAATCCGACCGTTGGATTTTTCTAAAATTTGGGTCATAAGTAAAACTTTTTATAAGATTTATGTGGACTTTAGAATCACGTCGATCGAACACCGGACGAAGAAATGGCGCAATCCAAAATTTGGTCATAAGGTGCTGTCATGACAGCAACAGTGTTGATGTTGGGACATGCACAAATTTTAATCTATTTATTGGATCTTTTTAAAATTTGCTACACTAGTAGTACTCTTTGAAAGTGACAAGTGGGCTCTAAAATCACTCTGATTAGAGGTCAGGATGATAAAATGATGCACTCCAGAAGTTAGTCCAGAGATGCTATTATGACAGCTTTTGACAACAAACAAATAACCAAATTTATAACGTGTCCAGATTTTAATCCGACAGTTGGATCTTTTTAAAATTTGAAAAAACTATTAACACACATTAAAAGTGACGTGTGAGCTTTGAAATCACTTTAGTCGGAGGCCAAATGGTGAATTGGCACCTCCCAAAAGTTTGCTTGTAGGATTGTCATGACTGTAGATTAATGCTATCATGACAGTAATTAAATGTCCTTGTTTGCCTAGTTTGCTTTCATGCACTATATCATAATTCTTCAGACTTTTCTAAAAAAATTTTAATTTAAATGTGTGTTTTGCTATAGTGTATCTCTTTAGCGATTTAAATGATTGGTTTCCTAAGTTGGTTTTAGGATCAACTTCTTAACCATACTTAGTTTATTTGAATTGTGTGATTTTTGGATAACACTCGGGACAAGTGTTACAATGAGCATGTGTTTCAATTTATGCTAGGCCTTCATCACTTCTTAGATGATGTCCATATCAAAATCTTGGCTCGTTCACCATTACCCTTTACTTGAGATGTGTTTGGTAGAGTTTATAAAGAGGCCTCTCATCGAAAGGGGATGCTCACTAACCCTATTATAGTACCTTATTCATCTGAATCCTCTACTATGGTAAGCAAGAACCTTGATCAAGGTATGAAGGAGACAAAAGGGAAAATATTATGTGTGTTCATTGTAAAAAGATAGGACACATGAAAGACTAGTGTTGGGATCTTCACGAGAGGCCTACTAACTAGAAACCACATGAGGGGAAGGCATGTTGGTATCAAGCTGCTCTAGAGAGTGCCACAAACAAATTTGGTTCCATTCCTAAAATTGCTAAAGACTAGTTAACCAAGCTCTTAGAGATGTTAAATACTCTACAACATTCTAAGCAACCATCTCAAATCTCACATTGCTTGTGTGGCTACACAAGGTAATAGTCATTATGCTTTGAATGCCACTTTCCATAAATCATAGTAGATTGTTGACTATGGGGCCTTATATCACATGATTGCAAACTCCACAATGTTCACATCATATTTTCCATGTAGTGGGCTTGAGAATATTGATATTGCTTATAGAACGTCTTCTTCTATTACTGCAAAGAAAAGCATTAATATTTTTGAATTTTTACAATTGGATTCAATACTTCATGTTCCCTATTTACCTTTTAATCTGTTATCTATAAACAAGTTGACTAAATAAGCCCATTATAGTGCTCACTTTTTCTCTACTCACTGTATTTTTTAAGATCTCTTATTAAGGAAGATGATTGGCAATGTTGAGGAGTATGATGAGCTATGCTACCTTGATGAATCAACCGCAAGTAGTCTCTGGTCTTGAATTCAGTGCAATCTTGTGTCTACCTCAGAGAATAATGACATTTTGTTATGGCATAAAAGAATTTGACATCCTAATGTTTAGTATTTGGGTTGTTTGTTTTCTCATTTTTCATTGAATAAAATTTTTGTGATACTTGTGAATTGGCTAAACACCATCATTCTTCTTTCTTGAGCACTAAATACAAAGCCTCCAACCCTTTTTCTATTATTTGTAGTGATGTATGGGGTCCTTCGAGTGTTCCAAACATAACTCAAGCCAAACAAGCCAAATTGTTTGTTACCTTTATAGATAATCATACTTGTGTGTGTTGAGTTTATTGAACTAAAGAGAAATTTGAAGTGGCATCTATATTTTTGGAATTCTACACCATAGTTCATAACCATTTTCACACCTCTATAAAAATTCTTCAAACTAATAATGGTACAAAATACCTGAATAAGGCCATGAGTGAGTTTCTAAAAATGAAGGGCACAGTTCACAAAACCTCTTGTGCCAATACCCCTAAAAAAATGGGATTGTTAAATGTGAAAAAAAAAACTTACTAGAAGTTTACCTTGCTCTTATGTTTACCACTCATGCCAAAATAGTTTTAGAGAGATGCCATCCTTAACACCACTTACCTCATAAATCGAATGCCAACCAAAAATTTTAACCTATGCCACCACTTGATCTCCTTCATGAAGTTCATTCTTTATGCCACCTTGAAACTTATCTTCCATTGAAAATTTTTGGGTGCTCAACTTTTTCCATCTTAACTCTGCTGCCAAACTTGAACCCAAGGTTGTCAAGTGTGTGTCCATTGGTTATTCTTCATCCTAGAAAGGTTATAAATGTTTTTGACCCCTCTTCTTGTACCGTCTTCCTAAACATTACCAAACTATATTCACTTAATACATGAAGGTAATTAGAGCTTGTCACTATTTCACATATGAGTGTCCCAAATCACGACCTTATATCATTAATCACTTTTAAGGCCTTAACAACAACCAAATATATATTTTCCACTTAATACATGAAGGTAATTAGAGCTTGTCACTATTTCACATATGAGTGTCCCAAATCACAACCTTGTATCATTAATCACTTTTAAGGCCTTAACAACAACCAAATATACATTTTCTACTTGATTGAGCAAATATATCAACAAAAATACAACTATACATAAATTTGGTCACTTGACTCCATTTCAACACAACAGGACTCATTTCTTATAAAATCACATAAATTCACACTTGGCCAAATTTCACTTAATTATCCATTCAAACCACACAACTTTATGCTTGGACTAATATCTTAACCCTACCTATTATATTTCACACAATTTCACACCATTTTATATCACTAACCTAAATTACATATATAACCACACAAGTGCAACCAAACATGATATATGTATGCATTGTTATGGCAATTTATAAAAATTATAAGGACCCAATTAAATGAAAAATAACTACAATAACCATATTAAAAATCAAGTGAAATTATAAGGATTAACAAATTAATTTTCCTTAAGGTAAAATAATACAAACCATTCAGTAAACAACAACAACAACAACAACAACCAAACCAAGGATTTCAGCCTTCTTTCTCTTTCCTTTTCCCTCCCTCAGCTTCAAGCGAACCAAAAGCCAAGCCCTCCATGATTCCTTGGGGGAGTATCCCACTTGACTACAAGTGAGCGTTTCTTCATTGTTCGTTCGATCCCCAAACGAATTGAGTCCCTTTTAACCTCTCAATCTCATTCCCAATTCTCCTAGGTAGGCATAATTGTTGAGTTGGGTACATTTGATAAAGAGAGGCGTAATAAAAGAGCATGGGATTTGGTCATGATTGTCGGCGTGACGTGTTAACAACTGTCCATATGATAAGAAGAGGTGTAATATAGAGACGTGTTAACGACCGATTAATTGAATGATTGTCAGAAATTTTGTCATATATAACAATATTTAATACGGAATAGAGTTTCAACACAGAAAGGGTGTTTAGATTTTTTTCCCTCCAAAACCATGATTTAATGAGATTTAGGCTCAGTGAGTAGTTTAACTATATTAATTTAATAAGTGTTTTATATAGTAAGATAATAACAGTTTGATTTAAACGGTTGTTAAATATTGTCATATAATATCAAAAAAAAATATTAATTTTTAAATATTTTAAAAAAATAATATAAGTAAAAAGTATTTTAATTGGGAAGATTGTTTGAATTTTCGGACAGAAATGTATGGTTGTATTTTTTAAGTCTAGTTAAAGTCCAACTGCTATAATTGACGAATGAGTGTAATTATACCACTCATTAAATTCAGATGAATCTAAACAAAGAAGTCGCTTCTTTTGACCCAGAATCGCACTATCACTGCAGTGGGCGGTCGGATTGATGATGCGAATAGGTTGTTGACACGTCTCTCTACAATTATACCTAACTTCCATTTATTAAGCGCCAAAAATTGCTTTTTTTAATTTTAAAATTTTTTTATTCAGTCGTGGTTATTAATAATTTAGGCACCCCACCAGGAGGGTGGTTCTTCTGGCGTGAATGGCGCTGTTACTTTTCGGCCCGAGATTTGCGTTGTGGAATGGATGGCACATATCAGTGTGTTGTGGTTTACCACTTTACCTAACTTTGGTAATAAAAGGCCCAAAAAAACTCATTAAACTCGTCCTATAAATTTGAAGATAAAAGAATAAGTTGATTCAATTTTTTTTTAAAAAAAGTGAAGTCTAAATTTTATAATTAAAAAAAAATATCTTTAACCATTAGGTTTCAAAAATAACAGAAAAAATATCAAAAAATTATTAACAAAGATTAATAAAATTTTCTTGGTCCATTTTCTATTATTTTTGGGTTTTTATCTGTAATTTTTAAATATTTTACTATACTTTTTGATGTTTTGTAACTTTTTAGGTTCTTTTTCTCTCATATTCTGGTCACTTAACAACAAAATTAAATTTTCTTAATGATAGAAATTAGATTTCACCATTTTTAAAAGTTGGATGAGAACATTACACCAAAATAAATTTAAAATCCTAAATTAGGGTTAATTTATCATTTAACCATAAATTTAATTTTATGATTAACATATAAAATAAAAAATATATTGAATTAGTTGTGATCGGAAAAACAGTTTGACTATTAAATACTGAATCACTCTCTTACTCGATTTAATAAAATGTTTGATTTTTAAAAACTTTTTTAATTTTCATTAAGTCTTGTATATACTTCTCTGTATTTTTTTTTTATTTTTCACGGTACCACCAAGTTCCAAGCATATTTACAAGTTAATTTTAGGATACTTTATTGAAATCAAAGAAATTATTCAAATTCATTAACTTCTTCTATAAATTTAATCAGTTTTTAATTTTATTTTTATTAAATATATATACTTTGTTAGTATAAAGGAGTAGAGATGTGCAAGCCCCACTGCTGATAGTGATTTTTTTAATTTTAATGCCAACAACTCCGGAATTTTTCGGCGCAGTTACTTTTTTTATTTTTTCGGCCGAGAATTGCATTGTTAACTTGTTATTATGTCTTCGGATCAATTACTGCAGTCGGTTTTTTTTTATAGAAATAGAATTGGCTGACAATAAATATGATCTTTTTTTATATGTTTTTCTTGATAAAGTATAGTTTAGTTAAGTTGGGTTTGAAGTTGGCCCAAAAAAAAAAAAAGTTAAGTTGGGTTTGAAGCATTTATCAAGAATAAAATATCTCTAGACCCAATGAATACTTATAAAGATATTCATAAATTACTTACCAATATAATATTTAATTTTATAATTTTATAAATTATAAATTAAATATTTATCAACATATCTTCTATTGTTCTGCTTCACATTTTATCTTTAATTTACTACCTTTGTTGTGCATTGAAGATTTGAAAGTGTGTGTGTGTGTGTCATTTGCGGTGTGTTTGGTGGTAAAGGGACTCTATCAATTATCAAATATCTTTTTCGTCGTTGAAAATCTGTCCCTTTTTTCCCCCACTTACCTAAAAGAAAAACCGTCGGATACATAAAAGATACTAAAATAAAATAAAAATTAGAACGAAAAAATTACGATTCACGAGTTTCTGTTTTTCTATGATATAAATTTTCTTCAACTCATTCTCATCTCTTAATTTTATTTCATTGTAATTTATTCCATCAATTTTTTCTTATGTTCACTTTTATTTCCTATTTTCTTTTTTTAAATTTTGTAATTAATTTTTTCTTAAAATAGCCAAATATTTTTTCCTCAACACCCTGGAGTTAGAATACTTACTAAAAGTCAATAGCCAATAGTCTTATGACATGAAAGCTTTTAATAAATGAGAAGTCAAGAGCTCAATCTCATTTATAATCTCAAATTAATGTCTGCTACACTAATTTTTTTTAAAAAAAGAACACTTAACAAAATTGTATGTGGCTCATCAATAAAATAAAATGAAAACAATGTTTAGATTAAAGCAGTTGAAAAAATATATAATTGAAAGGAAAAAGGGTCAAATGTGGGATATATCGTTAAAAAAAAAGAACAGAAAAATAAACAAATACTTCAGATTTAAAATTTTTATTACTTTCTATTTTATTTTATATTTATTAAAATACAAATTTATAAAAAATTATGAAAATTTTTGAAATGTTTGTCCATGGCTAATATGAAGAGTAGAAATTTAATTCGAGCAGTCCAATTCAAGAATAAAATTTTTTGTAATTTTTATACATTGATTATTCATATACATGCTCAAGACAATCTAATTTTAATATTAAATTTTTTATATTGATAAATATACATTAAAAATAAGATAATATCATAACTGACAATTTTCAAGAAATATTTTTAAAAAATTAAAACTTAAAACTTTTAAATCTAAACTGTATTCTCTTCATTAAAAAATATAAAGTATTTTTAATCGAATCTCACCTCTCAATAAAGTAGTTATCTACCTTTTAATTAACTCTATCTTTTCATATTTATCCCTATTAAATATTCTATAATAATATAAATTTATTATCAATAGGAGCATTTTGAAAAAAAGGTAATGATTATATCTCTCAAAAAAATAAACATATTTTATATTTTTAAATATCTAACTTCTCAAAAAAATGCCTTCTATTTTTGAACGGAAAGATTAAAAAATATGATCAAGTAAATTTATTATTAAAAGTTTGATATTTTTATAAATTATTTATATAGCAGCTCTTGGCCAAAGAAAAAAGATATTTTTATAAATTTATTTTAATAAACATAAAATAATCATAAAAAATTTTAAATTTAAACTATTCAGATTTTATTAAGGATATAATGAGCACCTCGATGCTTGAGAGGGGTGTCTCATTTTTCCTTACCCTTTGATCAAAGTTTTTCAATGGTTCATATTTAATATTTGATTAAATTATTATTATAATTTTACATAAAATATATAAATAAAATAGTACAGTTTTCAATTGATTAAATCAAATTTTAATAGTTTCTTTTTTTACCATCACGTAATTTTAATTATTCAAAATTATTTATAACTTTTATGTATTTTTTAATAATAATTTTAACAAATATTAAATCAAAACCATTAAAATTTTGATCTCACAATGATTTAGAGAAAACAAGGGAAATGGAGAATGAATGTTGAAAGGGACGAATGACAAATAAGGATCTTATAAAATATTAATATTAAATTAAAAATTTTAGTACTAAAATATAATAGAAGGAGTATTGAAATTTAAAAAATTTAATTTGATATTAATACTCTTGCAAAGCCCTTATTTGTCATTCTCAGTGGACACACCCTCTCCCGCGTGGCACGGTTGCTTGACGCTTATATAATAATGGCTTTCGTCGTTGCTGAAAGCATTCCGAGCTTAGCATGGAAGAGCAAGAGTACGCGCTGATCAGAATAATCAACTCACAACTGTTGCTCGGTTTGTCTTCATCTTAATTTCTAGAGATTTAATTGGTTCTCTATATATGTTTTAGCCATGAAGCAGTGGAACGAAGGGATTGAATGGGCAAGATGAAGAGAGGAAATTAAAAAATTTTCAGAGAAAGGAACTGTGTGAAGAATGGCGAAGCATCTCCCAACTAAGATCCATACTTTACAATGATTGAAAAGCTTTTATGTTTACAGAAACGAGAATTTCTTTCCTTTCTCATATTTCCTCTTGCATAGAATGGGATGATTTAGCTTATCTAGATGGTAAGCTTTAATTAGTTTTATTTTCTGTCTGGTTTTCTTGGTGCTCTGCTTTGTGTTGTGGGTTGTTTCAAAACAAAACACACACATATAGGTATGTATATATGCATGCAGCTGATCTCCAGATTCTCAGATAATTCAATGCTTGCATGTTCTGTTTGTTAAGGGAGAGAGTTATATCTTTCTGACATAGTGCTTCTACTTCTAATAACTTTTCTGCATTATATACTTTCAGTTTATTAAAAAAAAAAAAACTGTTTTTGGGCTAAGTTTGTTGATTCTCTCTTGTTTGTGATTTCTGCAGGCATGGACGTTGGAGTTGAATTTGGTGACATGATCACTAGCCACGGCGTCTTTTTTACAAGAGGCCACCTTAAACTCTAATTCTAATTTTACATGAGACTTCGTAAATACTATCTCCTATCTAAATTATACGTCATTTGTTCCTAAGTTTGAGTGAAAAATGCAGAACACTTGGTACTTTTTGAATTATTTTTTCAAATCTACCTTTATATTAATTATTGTAGACATGAGAAATATAATCTCACTTACACTGCTTTTCACTTTTTATGATAAAGGGTTAATGGGAAAAATGGAAAAGCATCTCTTTTTTTTTTTTTTTCCATGAAAGTGAGGACATAGTTACTTTTAGTGTATGTTAAATATAGGTGGAAGTGTTTCAGAATTTGAATCGGACGGAATGTATATACTTCACCAATCCTCTCTCTAAGACCCTTCCTTTATTGTTATGCATTTTGTTTAGATTAGAATATGTTTGTAAATAATGTTGAACACTAGTTTTAATGATTATAAAATAAAAAAATTGCTTTACAGGAAAAATCAATAAAGATTAAAATGGTAATTAAGGGTAATTGGTTACTTGCCTTGAAATCTGATTGTGGTTCCTTATTCCCAAATAGCCATCCTATACCAGAATAGCTATGAATCTCCAAGTGTTTCAAAATTCAATTTTATTGAGATTTTGTTTCAAATTTAAGTATTTGACTTATCTTGACTTGAACACTTCTGGCACAGAAACAGAAAATAAGAACTTTTTTGAAGCAAAATGATGTTATTCTCAAATTTTATTGTGTGTTACAATGAAAGAAGGTGGACTCATTTATATCGCTAGGACTCTGAATACAAAGGAGTAAATGGGCAAACTTAACATTACAGAACGTGAGTTACAGGGGTAATAAAAGTTATTAGTCGACTTTTATTGGAAATGAAAATGTTATTCTTGCAACAGACAAATGTAACGGAGGTGTTGGCAGTGCTCTATCATGGCTACTAAAACAATAGCTACTGAAATGGTGATCTTATTTTGTTTCATCCTTCTTGGGTTAGACAGAACTCCCTATCGAGTCAAACATAGCATCATCATTAACATATGCCGATAGATCAGCAATGTTCAAGGTGGCAAACACTCCGTAAGTGCCAGGCAATTCCACCTTATAAGTATTGTTATTGAACCTTTGTGCAATCTTGAATAGTCCATCAGCTCTTAGGGATAGCTAGGTGTTGGATTGTTTAGGAAAACTTTTTTTCCTCAAATGTATCCAAACTAAATCTCTTACATTAAAAGTTTGTTATCATTGATGCTTGTCAAGTTGAGATTTGTATCTTAAATTTTACTTCTAGGTTCACTCAAGAACTTGTTCATGCAACTTCTTGATTTCCTTAGCCACCCTTTAATCTACATTAGAGTTATATCGCTACTTATCAAGGGAAGGAGTCAAGCTAGTGGACTAAGGAGACATGTTCTATAAACAACTTCAAATGGACACTTGAAGGTTGCTTGGTTTATAGTATTATTATAAGAAAATTCAATTTGAGCAAGAATAAGATCTCATTGCTTCAAGTTCTTCCCCACAAAACTTCAAAGAAGATTGCCAAGAATTCTATTTATAGCTTGAGTTTGACTATCTGTCTTGGGAGATTTGGAGCTTAATTCCCATCTTCTTCAATAGCATCTTCTAAAGTGGCTGAGAAACTTAACATCACAATTAGACGTAATAGTCTTAGAAATGTCGTGGAGTCGAACGATCTATTTAAAATACAAATATGCAACTTGAATAGCATCATTGATCTTTTTACATGAAATTAAATGGGCCATCTTTGAAAATCAATCCATGACTACCATGACAGAATCTTTTTGCCTTTGAGTCCGTGGTAAACCAAGAATAAAATCCATGCTCACATCTTCCTCTAGTGCTTCTAGAACTAGCAGTTGCATAGTGGCATATATAATCCCGCATTTTGACCTTTGACCTTAGCTAAATGACATATTCAGCATCGCTATATGTGTCAATTGACATCTCATTCAAGCCTCGACCAAAAAAAATTCTCCTTGACTAGATCAACTATTTTATCTCTACTGAAATGACCAACTAGCCCTCCATCCTAAGCTTCCTAAATTATGGTCTCCCTCAAAGAACCCTGAGGAATGCATAGGGTTTTGCCTTGGAAAAAAAATCTATTATGTTTGTAAAACTAATGGAAAGATTGATTTATAGTTACTTCCTATACTCCTCAAAAATCAAGGTCATCCTGGTACAACTCTTTGACAAGTTCAAACCCAACAACTTTGGTTTGCATTATTGTGAACAACACATGTGGATGGCTAAGAGCATTAACTACTGAGTTCAAAGTTTCAGCCTTATGCTTAATAAGAAATGGATAAGACTACAAGATTACACCCTAATGGGCATGCTTGCGGCTAATCTTCTGTTGAGAATTCAAATACTTGAGGGCTTCATGATCAAAAAAGAGTATAAACTCTTTAATTAGGAGATAGTGACTCTAATGTTGGAACTCAGACAATGGCACAAAATTCTTTACCATAGGTAGAATATCTAAGCTTAACATCATTAAGCTTCTCACTAAAAAAGGTGATGGATGGCCCTCCTAGCTTAAGATAGCACCAATTCTTGTGTTGGAGGCTTCACAACTAACCTAAAATACTTAGTCAAAATTAGAAAGAGCTTGGATAAGAGCTTCAATCAACCTCTTCTTTAGCTCCTTAAAACTTTTTTGGGCTTGCTATACCATTAAAATGTATCTCTTTTAGTGTAATTTGTAAGTAATGCAATGATAGAGGTAAAATTGTAGATGAATCTCTTATAAAAAGAAGCTAATCCATAGAAGCTTCAAGCTTCCTAAACTATTTTTGGAATTGGCTAGCTATTAATGGCTTCAACTTTACTTAGATCAAATTGATCCCCCTTTGTAGTGATGATATAACCCAAGAACACAACTTTATTGGTGAGGAAGTGTACTCTTTAGATTGGCATAAAGCTTCTATTCTTGTAAGGCTTGCAAGACTTGTCGTAAGTAACATAAGTGTTCTTTTTGACTTGCTGTAGATAACAATGTTGTCAAATTAAACAATAACAAATTTGCCAATGGAGGGTGACAATACATGATTCATTAGGCGCATGATTATGCTAGGGGCATTTATCAACCTAAAAGGCATCACATTCTACTAATACAAGCCATCTCTTATCTTGAAAGCAGTCTTCCACTCATCTCCTAAATGAATTCTGATTTGATAGTATCTACTATAAAGGTTAATTTTGGAAAAGGTAATAGTACTATGTAGTTGTTCTAACATGTCATCAAGCCAAGGTATTAGGAATCAATACTTGATAGTGATCTTATTAACAGCCTTAGCAATCAATGCACATTCTCCAACTCTCATACTTCTTAAGTATTAGAAGAATAGATACAACATGAGGGCTAACACTTTCTTGAATAGATCCTCAACTTGTCAATAGACTTTGACATGTTCCTAGGGACTCATCCTGTAAGCAAGCTTGTTAGGAATGACTACTCCTGGAATAAAGTTAATGGCATGCTATATTTCTTGCATAGGTGGCAACCTTAGTGGTATCTCATCGTATATCACATCTAGAAATTCAAACAATAATGGCATAATTCCTAAAGTATAAGTAGATTCATTATTTGTGTTGAGCACTAGAATAAAACTCATCATTTGGGTTTTATATTTTATCACTTTGAACACCTCTTTAATTATCAAAGTCACCAATGGCTTGACTTCCTTTAAGGCTTTGCTAAACTCACTAGGTGGTAGGGGTACTAACTTGATCTTTATACTGTCTGTAGTGAAAAAGTAGGTGTTTGTACATCCATCATGCAAAGCATATTAATCATATTGCCATAGTCTCTCCAAAAGAAGGTGGCATGCATTCATAGGAACAACATCACACAAAACTTTATCATAGTATACTTTTCTAATAAAAAAGTAACAAGGCATTGTTTAGAAACTTTTACCTCATTTCCCTTATTAAGCTAGTCAAGCTTGTAAAGATACGGTGATCGTGTATTGAAAACTTTAATTTCTCTACTATGTAGTCAAACACTATATTTTCACAGCTTTATTATCAATGATGACATTATAAACTTTTCCTTGGGCCTTGCAATGGGTGTGAAAATGTTGTGCCATAGCCAAAGTTCTTCCTTAACTACAATTATATGCAGATTTCATCTAATCACCAATACTTCTCCCTAATTTGCACATGTAACCTCTTCATCATATACTAGCTTAGTTTTATAAGATGTAATCTCCTCTTCATCTTCTTCAGGTGCTTTATAAACTTGTCCTTCCTTAATGGTAACAGCCCTTTAGGTAGGACAGTTGTAGTAATGTGGTTGAATCCTTGGCATTTAAAGCATTTGAGTGCTTTAGATCCAGATTCCTTGGCAACATTTAGCGGAGAATTACACATAGCATTAAGTTGTAACTTTCCTAAGGGGTTAGGCTACTAAAACTCTATCTTGTGAGCATTTAAATAACTCTTGATAGAAGAAGGTTGAAAAGAGGATCTCTTAGGCATCTACATCACAACATGAATGGCTAGATGGATTACATCATTCAAGATTCAATATTACTGAAGCTAGACTAGATAGCTGATGTTAGTGTTTAAGCCTGCAAGGTATTAGGCTATTGTTTGCTTCTCCTCCTTCTCCTAGATGTCACACTTGATCATAAGTTTCTCAAATTATCTGGTATAGTACTCATCTCAAGATAAGGACCTCTATCGAAGATTTTACAACTGAATAAGGTTATCTTGATGATATGTTCTGGTAGAAACTTCCTAGTGAGCTGGCATCTCCCAAGTCTCAATCTTGTGCTTTTCCTCACGTACTCATTTTTGCTTGAGGTCTTTCTACCAAGTCGAGGCATGTTTTTTGAGTTTGAGGTCAACAATCTTGATTTTCTTCTCATCTAGAATCTCCTTATATTCAAATACACATTGGACAATTTGAAGCAAATCTACAAACTCATCTGGCTAGAGTCTTCCCTCAAATTTAGCAATGTCCGCCTTGATGTCACCTAGACAAAATTATTGTTGTCGAGGACAGTGATAATTGTTATTGGATGATGAACTGTACGCGAATCTCCTTCTGGGTTTTCTTTGAGTTTCTAATAAAGCTCACTACATTTCCATAGTAGCCTCTAGCTTCTATAT